TTTCAAGAATAATCAATGATCATATACATTCCATGAAAAAAAAAAAAAACAACAACAACACCAAAAAGAGCTCTGTGGCCAACATTTGGTTCACACTAAGCTAAACAAAATCAAAAGAAGTTAATGTCAGGACTTCTCATAGCTTTTAATATGCTGTTTGTTGAGACTCTCTAGGAAAGAAAAAATATACGTAGTGTTTTCTCAACATAATTGTGACCAATGAACACATTTTTCCTCCACAGAGAATTTCAAAGCATTAGGGATCTTTGAGACACCCTTTGGTGTGTTTTACTTGAAAATTTCCACCTGGATCAGACATACTGAGATGTTAAGGGAAGAAGTATGTTCACAACTATGAAAGCTATACGCATTAACCTTCTAAAGGGACCGGTGGTAGTGGAAATGAATGGAGGAAATTCCTCGGGGAGGTCTATTTCAGCAGACAATCAAGCTAATACAGCTGCCCCTCCTCACCAGGTGCATTTCATTGGTAACCTTCCAACTTTGGTTTTTTGTTTTTTTTTTTAAGGAGGCCTTCCCATGTGCCTGGTGTAAGTCAGACTTTTGGAAAATAAAGACACCATCAAGGAGTACAGTTAAGGGTGAGATAGAAAAGAGTTACAACCCGGATGTCAGAAGAGGCGGGCTGGGGGTGTCCACAAGGTGCTGTGGTAAGGCCAATGGCACAGTTAACCTGGGCCAGGGTGTACAAGGAGACTTGACAAAGGCTGTGATGTCCAGGCTGGTTCTTGCAGGCCAAAGGAGGCGTGGCCAGGACAGGCAAAGGAGAAGAGCACGGGCAAAGGCAGAGAGGCCACAGGGAACAGTGTATTCAGGGGACTCCAAGTTGCTTACGTAGCTAGAATGTGGGGTGTAGAAGACTGGACAGGTACAAAGGTAGCAAAACACGAAGGGTTTTGTGTGGCACCCTGCGGAGTCTGGATCTTATTCTCAGAGTGAAGGGAGATTATGAAAGGCTGTTGAATCTCAGGATGGTCTACGCTTCAGAAGCTCCCTCCAGCAGCAGTGTAGAAAAGGGAGGCAGATCAGAAAGCCAGCTCCAGGCGGCCCGGCCAGTAAGAATAACGAGGGCCTGAATGAACCAAGATGCTGGGGCGAAGCGGACAGAGGGAGTGGTAGACCATTCCTAGGCTTCGGACTTGAACAATACCGGGCAATGGTACGGCCACATAACCGAGGGAACACAGGACAAGGGGCAGGTGTTTGGGAAGGAGCTCATGCATTCAGGTTTGCACTTGTTGGGTTTGAAATTCTGACAGAACGTGTACGAGATGTTCAGGAGATGGGTGGGACTCTGGGTTGAGACACAGATTTGACAGGTTTCAGGACAGAAGGTTGTTGAAGCCATAGGTGTGGAGGGCAAGGGCAAGGACTGCATAGACTAAGCAAGACAAAACTGGCGGGAACTGCATCTCCCTCTTCCAAACGCCTACAGCATGTGCCTGGAGCTCAGACGGCATCTGTCATGCGCTGCAACATTTAGCTCCGCGCCTGTGGGCCACAGAAAGTGTCACGCTAGATGTGAGCGTACGAAGAGAAATAAAAGATCCTTTCGTCCAAGGAGACTATGATGTCGTTGTGGAGAAAGAATTCTACCCAACTATTATGAAAATGAAATGAAGAGCTATGAATATGCTGAGTGTAGAAGAGGCAATTAATCCAATGGAAGATATAACCCAGGTTTCCGGAAAAGAGGAGAGCATCTGAGTTGAGGTGGGAAAGTAAGTGGATTTCGCAAGCAGGGAAGGGGAAAGAAGGCAAGTAATTTGAGGCTGGAAACTAACAGATCACAAGAGAATGGAGTGTGAGAAGTGACAGAGAGAGGCTGGAAGGGTGGCTTGAGGCCAGGATCCAGGGAATCCTGCTGAGATTTCTCAGGAGTCCATTTTAAAGAAGGCACACACGGGCCTATGTACATTGAAGGGCCTGTGATGTAGCTAGCTTCGTTTCTGCCTATTCACTAATTTCAGAAATGCATTTAAGAACAATCAATCATAAATGCTAAAGGGAACCTACAAAACCACCACACTGCATTTCCACTCTACAAAACTCTGCGTTAGTGGAACTTTAATTACTTGGCTTCATTATAAAATTTCCACTGCATGTAAGTGTAAATAATTTCACTCTAATGCACTCATTTGAATCTGTGGCTGAAAGCATTGGTAGAAATCCCATTTTTGTGGCACTTCCTTGGCACACCGAAGGAAAACAAAATGTATACTGTTAATCAAGTCCTCAGCGACTCTGAAAGTGATGGGTTGCATAAAGATAGCAAATAATAAGAGAAAAATCTATTTTAAAGATTAAAAATATTTTATTTAAACTTTTCTTCATAAACACTTTTAACATTTTTTTTTTCAATTTAAAAACAGAATGGATAGCATAAACATGTTTGAATAGATTATATTCACGGCTTGGGAAAAATTACCTGACAAAAATGTAAAGGCTTTCAAAACAGGTATAAAAGGCAAACCTTAAATTATTCTAAGATTTTTAAATTGGCCCTAGGATTATTTGACTACTGGCCCAAAATGTACCTAAAGGTCAAAATATTTTTCTATAGACAAAGGATGCCCAAGAGGTAGAGGGCATATACAAGTTAGGTAGAAAATAACCTCTCTGACCACCTCACTGTAACTCTCCTTCAGAAAGCGAACACCTAATCCTTACCGACACACTGATAGATAAGGTTTTTAATGCAGTTGTTCCCAAAGATGTAAAAAGAAAATCCAAGAATATCGAGGGGGAACAAAGCAAGCTGATGGCATTCTCTCGGCGTTGCTCGTGTAACACCGAAGTTACACGGGTACATGTACTAAAAGGCTAGGACTTCCACGAGCTTACCGATTCCAGTCTATGTCTATTGAATATTTGACTTTATAAACTCTCAATAAACTAATTTTTCAGGACTTTCATTTTTAAGATAAATCTCTTTTTAGAAGATATTTATTCCCAAACCAACTCTAATCTGATTGAACAAACATATGATCCCTAAAAATGTTCAGAGTACAAAAAAAAAAATCAAAAATGTGTAATAGGCGAAAAAGAAAAATGGCACTAGCAGTTTTACTGCCATATAGCCCTCAGTTATATCTAATTTACACTATTATCTATGTTGTGTTTTACTTCAGTCTAAAACTTTAAATTATGTATTCTCAAAAGAGCTAGTCTTTTCTGAGATAGCTTATAAACTGAAATATCAATTTATATTATAAACTGAAATGTTATGACCTACAACCACATATACATATATAAAAATAGTCCCACTGAACGTTTGACATGTTTAGATTATGCAGCTCAAATAATTTGTTATAAAATATTTTAAAGCTTAGTTTCATGTAATTAAGACAAAACTCTCCATTTTTACCACTTCTCACACAAATGTGTGTGTCCTTTACTATGACTCGAGCAGGCTTCCCAGAATGAGGTGTCCAAAGGTGCTGCTTTAGAAAAGATAAGTGAAGGGCTCAGTCAATATTTCACAAATTAGAGTAACACGCACACAGAGCAGAGTAATGAGGACACAGAGAATGCTGTCTCAAGAAAAGCTAATAGTTCTATTAAGCTTTGCTTTTTTAAAAACCAGTAGTATTTCTTCCAATATAAAACCTTCAATGTGAGAATTTTGAATTTTATGAAACGGCTGTAGTGCAAGGATTTCCTTTAAGCAGACTAAAATCAAAACCGAGAGGGTCAAAGATATGGAGGAGAACAAACATTTCTAATTAAGATGTAATTAATGAAAATCGGCTATTTTTGTAAAGTCTGCCCTTTAAAATGTAAAGTGAAAACACACAAGGATCACAACGGTTACACTGTATAGTTTCCAATCTGAATTTTTTAAAAACAACTATTTTGAGCACATACAATGTATAGTAACAAAAATGGTTCCAAATGAAGCGCACAAAAAATAAACTTGAAAAAAATTCTATGGAAAAATTTTCCATAGTTGAGTATAACAAAAATAAAGCTCTTTCAACAATTAAACCACAATTTGAAAAGGGAATGTAAGTTAATCATGGATTTAAAATAACCTATATTAGCACTACATATAAACAGGTGAGTTTTCTCAATACATTCAGAACCCAAGCAATAGCAACTATTCTTAAAGCTCAAAACTGATTACAGCTAACATCAGGTCAGACATGACTTATGTGTGAAGCTGAACCCAGAGTTAGTTCAAGTTAAGATTTCAGAAATTTTCTAAAATGTGAACTTTGATCTTGGTCTTGTGTCTTGAGAATGGAGACCAAGAATATGCAACTGTTTGCCCAGACTTTACCCTAACTAGGGCTATGAAGCCATACCTAAGCAATTAAAGAGAACCACCACTGGTGTGTTAAGTATAAAAGCCTGATGGGGTACCCTGTCTCGGTTTTTTCCAGCAAAAGACAACGATGAGGAAAGTAATGAAGACGTTATTGTTATTTTCTTTAAAGCAAGACAGCACACACACAAAACACTAAACCAACTAATGTATTAGAAAAAGAATTAAATGGCTAACCTAATGCCTATCTTTCAAAAGTAAAATGATTAAAAATGCTTTTTAAAAGGCAGAAAAAGACTTTTACTCATATTACTATGGCAAACAAGATACTGAATTCCATTTTTAGAAAGTAAAAGTAAATGACAGAACCACTTAATAAAAATTTAAGTCTCATATACAAAAGAATATCATTAACTTGATTTCTAAAACCAAGGCCAATGTTTCTTTCTCCTTCTCAAAAACTACTTGTGTACCTGACTGTTTCTTAAACTCAAATGCCTCCGGTTTTGGAGTTTTAAAATCAGGTGTTTTTCTTCATAGTTATCTAATTGCAAAAAAAAAAAAAA